TGATAGACGAAGCATTTCAGCCAATGTTTTCACTTGAGGGTCAGGAGTGATCACTTGGAGCTCAAAGAAGCAAGCAACAGTGGCGTTGTCAACGTCAGAAGTAGAATATGTTGCAGCAACTTCAGCAGCGTGTCAAGCCATTTGGCTAAGAAGAATGTTAGCTGATCTTCAACAAGAGCAAAAAGGGGCAACAAAGATTTTGTGATAATAAAGCAACTATTTTTATGACAAAGAACCCAGTGTTTCACAGTAGAACAAAACATATTGAACTTCGACATCACTATATTCGTGATCTTGTTGCAGACGAAGAAATTGTCTTGGAATATTGTAACACCGATGAACAGCTAGCAGACATACTTACCAAGGCTTTGTCAAAAGAAAAGTTTTGCTACTCCAGAAGATTATTTGTCATTTGCAAGTTTTAACCAGGGGAGATCAAATATTCAAACTAACAAGATTTTAGGAGATTGTTAGAGATTGTTAGTAGATTTAAATTTATCATTTTGATGATTTACTATTTCTGATTCAATGTACTATAAATACTGGGAATTATGTAACCGCATTGAGTCAGAAAACATTAATAGGAATTGTTTGAGTCGGAAAACATTAATAAACAGCTTCTATTTATTTCTATCTCTTTCACTATCTTTTTCCCACCGTTCCACGTCCGTCCAATAGAAGTCCAATAGAAGCCCAATGGCATGAACCTCAAGCCTTATGCATCTCATGTCCGTCCAATAGAAGCCAAGGCAAGCGAAGTTTCTTCTAAATAAATTGTTTTGATTTAAAATTTAAAATTTAAAGTGAGAGACATTCTAAATTTTAAAAATATTTTTGAATGGATAAAATTAGTACACCAGACTCAAAGTTTGTTTTAGTTCTCAAGTGTGGGTTTCAAATCTGTTAATTAAAATTCTAATAGAGGATGTAAATAATTTTGAAAATTTTCAAATAAATTGTTTTGATTTAAAATTCTAAATTGGGAATATTCTTGATTTTAGAAATAGTTTTAAATAAAAATTGGTTTGATTGAGTAAATAATTTTAAAAATTTTCAAATATTTTTTTTAATTTAAAATTCTAAATTGTTAATCATTTTAAATAAACAAAATTAGTCTGACCACTTAGAATAATTATATAATGGTTTGTTCTTTTGGAGGGAAAAAAATAAAAAAAATTATATAATGGTTATACGCCGCACTTTGTAACCTTGTTTTTATTTGCTTTGCCTAACTCAAGGTATTTTGTATCTATATCATCTCCTTTCTAGCTTCAACTATTGCCACGTATTCAGCCTCAGTAGATGAAAGAGCAATACATTTTTTAAGCCTAGACATCTCATCATGCATGGCTTGCTCCTATAGTTGTATAGGGCCTCATCAAGGAGCTCTTTTTCCTCTTCATCTATCACCAACTGATAGTGTAAAGAAGGTACATACCTATCTGGTACTCTGATGGCTCTGGATGATTTTTTTAATACATGTTCAGGGGTCACTTGCTTTGCTTCTGGTTCCTCAGTAGCAGTCTCAGGAGTTTCTTGAGTATCCGCTACAACATCACTAGGTGAATCTTTCAGCAACTCAACCTTAACTCCCACTTGCTTCGTTGTCCCGATACTTTTCTTCAATTCTCTGGCAGTCTTGGGGAAGCTAACTCGTTTCTGTTTGCTCATAACACAGATCTCACAAGGACTTATATAAACAGATTTTAGACCTTCCAAAACTTCTTCCACAACCAGCATCTTCATTCCTTTAACGCTCATATGTCCAAGTCTATTATGCTATAAACTTGAATTTGAAGCACTCTCAGACAATAGCCATGTTCATACACCTTGCGGTGGCGTATAAGGTTCCAGATTTTGTGCCACGTGCTACCACCATAGCACCCTTCACAATCTTCCACGAACTATTCCCAAACTTTGTTGCATAACCTGTGCTATCCAACTGACTAATAGAGATCAGGTTCTTGTTGAGACTAGGAATATATCTGACATCCTTTAATGTCCACTGATTTTCTGCTCGAGTTTTCGTGTAGACATCCTCTTTTCCTTCAATCTTCAAATCTTTGTTGTCGGCAAGATACACCTTCTCGAAACTTCCAGACTTAAAATTTTGAAACAACTCTTTATTTGGAGACGAATGAAAAGATGCACCTGAATCCAAAATCCAGGATTCAATCGGACGGTCCACGTTGAGGATTAGAGCATCCCCAATGTCTTCGACTGAATGTATAGAATCATCGTCATCATATGATTTGTGATTTTACTTCCTCTTTGTACAATCTACTCGAAAGTGACATTTTTCTCCACAACTTCAACACTTTACGTTTGGTTTGTTTGAATTTTTTCCTTGATTCCTTGATTTTGATCGCCCATTGTTTGGGCCCTTTGATTTACTTCTTCCCCTTCGATCAACATTGAGAGCATTGCCGGATGAATCTCCGATTTACCATTTGCAAATACTCGAGGGCCAATCTTTCGCTGAGAACTACATCTCGAATTTCATCAAACTTTAGTTTATCAGATCCTCGTGAACAGTTGATTGCGGCAACAACAGTATCCCATGACTCAGGTAAAAATGACATAAAAAAAATGCTTTAATTTCATCCTTGAAATTAACTTCCACCGAACTCATTTGATTTATATTAAATTCGTTTATATGATCAGCAACAGATCCACCTTTAGACATTTGAAGATTAAACAACCTCCGCATCAAATACACCTTGTTCATAGCCGACGGTTTCTCGTACATATTCGACAGTGCCTTCAACAAATCTGACGTTATCTTTTCCTTGATAATATTGAACGCCATGTTTTTAGACAGCGTCATCCGATTCAATCGTAAAGCCTAATGATCCTTGAGCTTCCACTGCTCTGTGGTCATAGTATCCGGCTTCACCCCCAATAAGGGTTCGTGAAGACTCTTCTACTACAAATAATCTTCAATCTGCATCTTCCAGAAACCGAAATTGAATCCATCAAACTTTTCAATTCTAATCTTTGAAATTTCCATCTTCACAGATCGTGGTGACTTTCGTCTTGCTCTGATACTCGTTGTTAGGATCGCTCAAACACCGCACACTCGATCAAGATGAACACAAAAAACAGGAGAGAGAAAATTCAAAGAGGATCCTTGGCTAAAGGTTTTATTGATGACTTGAAGTATATACAACAACAAGAGAGAGAATACAGATGATGAAGAAATTACATTTTGGAAGCACGGCCCAATAACGTACACAGGTTTTCAATTTACTAAATATAACTTTCAAACATTTAACTACCTACAAGATATATAATCTACCTGAGTATATTAATATCAAATCTTTGACAAATATCTACCATATATATCTCTATCATTTTTACTAAATATCAACTAAATATATCTCCTTCTGCCAAAAAAATCTACTATATATATCTCTATCATATTTTTATCAAATATCAACCAAATATATCTCTACAAGATCTTTATGGTAAATATGCATAGACTCCATATCCCAACCGTCTTTGTATCAAGAGTGTTGAAACTTTATAACTATTTTTCTGAAATTTTCCTTTCATTCTTCGAGTATTGCACAATTCTTTTATTCACATCCCGTCTTTGGACGCCTATAAATTAAGGGTGTGACATGTAAATTAAATATAGAAATCCCAAATTTTTGTAATGTCCCAAATATAGGATTTGGATCAAAATTCGGATCCAAATTCAGCACACGACGACTTCAACATTCTTTGGCGATATTATCAAGGTTACCGACTTATTGTTTGTACCAACATGAGTCATTTTAACATGTTTTCTTTTAAGAAAACTCTAACATAGAATTGCTCCAAGAAAAGTACACTTAATTTTGGAGTTCATTTGATTGAGCCATTAAAAAAGAAGCATTTTGTTTATATAGATAATAACTTTTAGTTAGTTTATGCTTTTCTTAGCGAGGATGTGTAGGATCACTTTCATTTAGATGTAATCTCCATTCATTCATGTATTTTTTTTATTATTATTATAAAATTCAAAAGGTTTTACTTATCGTCTCATGACTCTACTTTTCCATTAAAAAATAAGGTCCTACTATATGCATGTCATGACTACTACGTGCAGAAATCCTTTAAAGTAATTTACTAAACCAATGCTATGGACTTAAAGATTCATAAAAAAACTATTTAGACAAAAAAAAATGTCGGAATCAAAATACAAGAATTTAAAATAATGCAACACACTGATCTAACCTAAGGGCTGCTACATTAAATGCAAATGCGACTACCTTGACTTCACTTCCATGGTGTCCACAGTGACACCGTCATACATACATTGGTGGCTTACCTTTGCCAGTAAGTAACCCCATTATTGAGGTCAAAAAATGCAATCACATACAATCATGGGGGACTTATCTTTTCCTAAGACATCATGACCTTATTCTCTACTTCAAGTTCGAGTAAAGTTTGATGTGTATTGTATACACCATAATAATTTTGTAAGTGTTTGTAGTTAAAGTATGAGTAAATAAATGGTATATTGCCACTTTTTTGGAGCAATGAGGCCTTACATACATACACGAGGGGTAAACAAGTGTCCTATCGATCGAGTTTGGAAGTAAAGAATCACAAGAGTCTTTCTCTTTGTCTCAACCAAGTCTGATCTTGGGCGTCTGATACATGTATTTGTTAGTATCGTAAACCATGTAATTAAAAATAGTATAAAGTGTATAAAAGAAACTAAAAATAATAAATAAAGAGATATCATGTTTTTGTTTGTAGTTGAACCGGTGCAGATCCATAGCATTTGGGTCAACCCAAAATCCGAAACCAAATCGAATCAATTCAGGTTCCTCTAACCCAACCCAACCTGAAGTGCTAGTCCCACCCATCCTCTTTAATTCGGGTTAGGTTGGTCCGGCTTGTCGGGTTTGAAAATACACCCATAAAGCATGGTCGGTTCGGACCAACCGTGTATGCGAACCGCTAATGAGAAAAAGAAAATTTGAAAATTATAAAGACAAAACAAAACAGGGAAGTAATCTACGGAGCCAAAACCCTCAGAAGCTGCCGCCGCGAAGTGCCGCTACCATTCTGCCGGTTTTGCAGTTTGCAGTTCGCATTTGGTTACCATTTACGACTGAGAGAATGAAGATGGAGCTGCATAAATCGCCGCCAATCACAGCGTTCACTTCCAACGGCGACTATCTAGCTATCTTGTCCTCCAATGGAACTGTCAAGGCAAGCTTCCTCTCTCAGTATTGCTTATAATGTTTGAATCCTTTTCTCATGCTGATTTTTACTTGAATATCTATCTATTTGATAAACTTTCGCTCTTCAGGGCTCGGTATAGGCACAATTATTTGTTTGTTTTTCTTTTTTTGTGCTCATTTATATGTGGATGTTCATTACAACGAATTTCAACTGTTTTATGTATCTGTAGATTTGGAAAACTAGCGATGGGAGTTTGCTAGCCGAGTGGAAGGATCCTGATGGGAAAACTGATGCTGGTTATTCTTGTATTGCCTGCTGTTTTGTGGGGAAAAAAGTGAGAAAAGTACTTTAGGGTTCTTAATTATTTGACACTGTATTATATGTTTTGGGAATCTTAAACCTATATTGTCTTTCTCAAATTTCAGCGTAAAAACAGTTCTTGTCTTATTGCTATCGGTACCAACGGAGGGGATGTGTTGGCAGTAAATGCTTCAAGCGGTGAAACGAAGTGGGTATCTGCCGGTTGCCATCTTGGGTACGCAATCAATTCTGATGATCTTGTTAACTTGATAATTTAAAGAATGATCAATGATTCAGATGAATCGGGTGCAAATTTTATGTACTTCATTGATTCTATATTTTTCATATTAGATTCTTCACATCGGTGCATTCATTGTGGCGATACGTTTAGATGGTAAAACTGACACGAGAATAAGATGTTAGAACGATTAGTAGGTTGGAAGTTTCCTTTGTTCACACGCCTTATATACACACACACACACACACATCTAATAAATAATTGTTAACTCATTCTTTTATGATAGTGAAGCTATCTCTGAAGTGAGTTCATCAATACATTAAGGTTCTTCTACTTCTACATTTTATTCATTATGGTGAATGAATTGTTTCTTTATCCTGATTTGTGAAGTGGAATTATTGGCCTTTCTTTTGCGGACAAAGGCCGGAGACTGCATACCATTGGAAGTAACGGAATGGCATTCAAGATGAACGCCGAAACAGGAAGCATTATCAATGAGTTCAAAGCTTCGAAAAAATCAATCTCTTCTTCAGCCTTTTCACTTGGTTAGTTGCTTATCCATGTTTTTGTAGGTGCAAAATGTCAAGCACCTTTTGTCTTAACGAGTCGCTCCTTTTTCAGATGAGAAGTACTTAGCTGTAGCTGGCAAAAAGTTGAAGATTTTAAGCACAGATAATGGGGTTGAGCTTATGGTGCACCCTGATAAATTGGTGAGCTACCCAAATTCTCTTAATTTCTAAATAGGTCCAAATCACTGACTATACTACCATCTGAAATATAGGGTCCTGTGAAGCTTGATTCTATATCTGACGACGCCAAAACAATAATTACATCAGAACCTGGAGCCAAACATATTCAAGTGTGGTGGTGTGATATGAGTGCTGGAAAACTTAGTCGAGGTCCTGTTCTGTCCATGAAGCATCCTCCGTTCATTTCTGAATGCAGAAATATGAACAATGGGGAAGATAGCATAGTTGTCTTGTCAGTATCAGTATCAGGTGTAGCTTATTTATGGAAATTAAAGTTCCTATCAGAAGACAAGGTTAGTCCGACTAAAGTCACCGTTAAAGTTAACAATGTCGAATCAGCTGAGGAAAACCATGGAAGTGCTAAGAAGAATCGTATTTCTGTCCTCTCTTCCACAATACAAGGTTTAGGAGACAATGAAGTGTCAGTCCTTGTCACTCATGGCTCCATGGACCTACCGCAGCATACTGTCCTTAATATCGCACTTGAGAAAGAAGGTTTGACAAACTTGTCATTTTGCCATTCTTTTCCTTATTTCCCCTGTGCCCCATTCTCTTCAGGTAAGTACAATGTGTATACTCTGTCACAGGTCCACACGAGATCGAACAAGCAGTTACTTCGCCTAAAAGTAAGAAAAGCAAAAAGAAGAGAGCTGCATCTGATCTCGACAGTCAGACAGCTGGAGATGTCAGTGATGTCGGTAAGGATTGTCTTTGAGCCATTGCTTGTGGTTCTCGAATTTCCTTTGATGGTCTACAACTCTCCAACTCTACCTTCCAAAATATGTCTGGAGCAAATAGCCTAATACCATTTTCAATCTCCACCGTTAACTTGATATCTGATGATTGTAGGCAATGAAGATACGTCTAATGTTCTATTTAATGATGATTTAAACGAGCCAACCATGGGAGATAAACTTGCAAATTTGAATTTAGAGGAACAGAATGAAGACGAGAACCATGAACAAGATGAACCTTCCGTCCCTGCTATCCCACCAAGTGCAGACTCTGTTCAGGTTTTGCTCAAGCAAGCACTACGTGCAGACGATCGCGCCCTTTTGCTAGAATGCTTATACACCAAGGATGATAAGGTAATCAATTTATAACCAATCCTATCGGTTTTCGTTATATACTAACCTTCTTTATGCTGAAACATCATATATCATCTGTTATCAGGTCATCTCAAAATCAATAGCACAACTAAATTCTTCAGATGTTCTCAAGCTTTTGCACGCTCTCATATCCATTATCCAGTCAAGGTATTCTTACCTATTTCAAGATTGTTTGATGCTCATAAGTGTGTTCTTGGAATAAAAGATACCATATCAAAGTTTCATGGCTTATCTACAGAGGGGCAATTCTTGTATGCGCCATCCCTTGGCTTAGAGGTTTACTTCTTCAACATGCCAGTAGAATAATGTCTCAAGAATCTTCTCTACTCGCCTTGAATTCTCTATATCAGGTAAGCAATGGTTTGGCTCGACACTTCCCAAATATGCAGCTCCCTCACATCCATTAATCATATGTTCTCTAGTAGATAAACACAAAATTTCCATGTATGTGCAGCTCATTGAGTCTAGAATTTCAACTTTCCAATCTGCGCTTCTGCTATCAAGTAGCTTAGACTTCCTTTACACAGGGGTAAGTGCATTCTTTTCCTTCCACGTAACGTGGCTGAACTCGAGTTTCACCATAACCTTCTTCTTCAAGCTCTATGAGGTATTCACTCGTGTCTTCTTTCTGGCAGGTCCTTGATGGGGAGGCGGAAGAAAATGATGCCATTGTACCGATTATTTACGAGGAGGACGATAGCGATGATAAGGAATCGTCGGGAGATGAAATGGAAACGGATGAAGAGGGTGGAGGAGTTGAAGTAGAAGAGGCCTTTGACGATCTTAGTGCTGGTGAAGTGGATGATGATATGAGTGAATGATGATTATGAAGCCTACAAAATCCTTTGGGATTTCATTTTTTGACCTTTGTTTATCCAAAATGAGCTTCTTCTGTAATTTTGACAAGAGTTATCCTCCGAATGAATCAGAACTATATAAACCCATTGCCCAAGTTGCAAACTTCTGTGGTTTCATTCTTCACCAAAAAAAAAGAAAGAAAGAAAAAAGAAAAATTTAGTTAGAATTCCAAATTTGGTTAGACGTACATAGGATTTTATGCTTTGAGTTATTTTTTTACCAGTTGATCAAATCCTCACAGACTAATTCTAATAGAGATTAAATTTTATTTTTTGTTCGACATAGAAATTAAAAATTTTGGGCATAACTCTCTTCTACTCAGTATGATTGAGGGACAACACAGATGATAATTCCTCAAATAGTTATCCCTCCTGCATCCCTTTTCTATTTAAGAGCATTTTTTAAAATCTAATCCTTGAAAACAAAGGTGGAGATTCACGGTATCATATCTGGTACCTTTTACATGCAAAGTGAACACTCTACCATTTGAGTTACATCCCCTTTTTGTTTGGGGTCATTTTTTAAAATCTAATCAAATATATATATATATATAAGTAAAAGCGGCCTCTCACTTTACCTCTCACATGCTTAACCCTAGAAAAAAATTATGGAGAATTATGGAGATGCAGGGTATAAAAACCTTGTACCTCTCGCATGCAAAGTGAGCGTTCTACCATTTGAGCTACATCCCCTTTTGTTTTGAGGCATTTTTGAAAATCTAGGCAAAAAAAATATATTAAAAAAATAAGAAAAAGACGGCTTTAACTCTAGAACAAAAAAGATGGAGATCCTGAAATCAAACCCTATACCTATCACGAGCTAACCTTGGAAAAAGAGTCATTTTGAGATTCCTAGTCACTAATGGTTTACCTCTATTTGCGACTTTTTTTTTTTTTTTTTTTGTTCAGATTTACTTATAAGATGATGTTTGATCGTGTCACTCTCTTCAGGGTCCACAAGAGTTCTCGTTCTTTGACATAGTGGCAAGACCAATAGTGGTCTCCGTCTTCGCTTTCAAAGGCGTTCTCAACAGCCTTGGAAACCAAATTCCAATTCCCAATCTCGAGTAAAAATTCAAAAAAAATCTCACTATCCGAAAATGCTCTTTGACCCTAGTTTTAGTGAGATTATCCAAATTTATACCTTTCTATTAAAACAAAACCTAATAGAAAATGATTCACCATGACATATACATCATATACATTTGTCACTTTCTAAATGTTTTAATCTATGACAAAAATAATTTTTTATTAGTTTCTTTTAGTGTGTGTGTGTGTGTATATATATATATATCAATGGTATAAAACAACCAATCATATTTATATCAACTTCTTTGAATAATCCAAGTAAATAAACTTCTCTCGTGTGTTGACTTAGCCAATAATTTGACACATTATTCCAACTCCTAACCCCTCGCACAAGGAGTTCACAAACAAACACCCAAATGCAAATCAACGCACAAAAATAGGCTAATCACCAACTAACACCAACATTTTCAAGCTCTATATAATGGGAGAATCTCATGAGCTCTTCACCATCACATTCAAATTCTCCTCCTCTCCTTCACAGCATAATTTCTTCTCTCAATCTCTTAACAAAAACTCACAATGGCAAGCCAACAAGACATTAGCCACAGCGTCGGTGAGGTCGTCGGCCAAGCTCAGGTAGTTTACCGCAGTGAAATCGTTATCAAACACAGCCGTTTAGAACATATTATATGTTTCATTTATTGTGTCAGGTGAAGAAGGATGAGGTCATGAACCAAGCAGCTAATGCAGCTCAAGAAGCAAAAGATAGCGCATCTACTACCCTTGATCAATCCTCAGCTGCCCAAACTGCCTCTGACCTCAAGGACCAAGCTGCAAATTTCCTTCAACAGGCAAATTCGTTATTGGAAAAAACTATATTTTAAAATATTTGCAAATGGGTCCTTACAAAATTGCTTATTTATTTATTTTGATATGGTTTAGACTGGAGAGCAAGTGAAGAACATGGCTCAAGGAGCAGCTGAGGCAGTGAAGAACACTCTTGGGATGAACACTGATAGCAGTTCTAACGCCGCCGCCAACACTAACAACCCTACCAACACTCCATCCCCTACAATCTAAGAAATCAAATTTATTTTTATTATTATTATTTTTTTTTTTTAAATTTGGTTTCTGTACAATAATAATTAAAGGAAGAGTGTGATGTGTGGATCCCCTTCCTTTTTTAATAATTAATTCTTTTTTTCTTTTTTCTTTTTCTTTTTTTTTTTTTTTTTTTTTTTTTTTTTTTTTTTTTTTTTTTTTTTTTTTGTGGTAGCAATTCAACCCCTTAAATTTATTTAAGGTTTAAAATCTTTACAAAGTTAAAGAATGGGTAATAATTATCGTCTAGAAATAGATACATGCTAAGGCTTTTTTTGTATGATATAAAATATTTGATATCAAAATTAGACCTACTTTAGACAAAGTCATGTGCAAAGTAACTCAAATCATCACGAGATTTATCTTAAAAGTTGCATCACATTCCATACCATTTTAAAATGGTGACGGAGAGACACAAAAAGATTGCATTAGATTGACTTTCCATGGGGGCTTTCTATTTGATTGTATTGAAAGACTAATGAATTGGGATTTCCCTATTGGACTAAGTCATTTAAGTGGATCGTTTGTTAGAATCTTTTACTTTTGAAGTCAAAAAAAATAAGTGATCGAGAAAATGTAGATTTTAAGCTAAAACGTAACGGGTGGCACGATAATGAGTATGGTGGGGATGATGGATGCATGCATGGAAACGATTACCAATGCAAAAGGGAAATCCTTTAAGACTTTGGCCTTTCTATTTTCTCTCTCTTTCACGCACACAGATTGTAGTTGCTGTTTTTAAGAGTATGAGATAGTAAAGGCGTAGCTAGAGAGAAAACACAAGTTAGTGGAGGACTTTGGATAGAGAGAAAGAAATTAGGGTTGTGGTAAAGCTATCCTTGTGGATCTCGGGTTATGAGTGGCTAATTTTCTATTACAATGACGATAGAATGACTCGGATGCACAATGACTACTAGCGATGTTTCATCCTAAGTCATTGTCGGCCATGACTACTGAAGATGTTTCATTGTCGGTCATGCATATAGTCAGTCATGAATTTTATTACCACGTAGAACCTGTGTGGTACTACAATATACAAATTTTCATCCACTCGAATTTCTACTGGGAATACTACCTTAACTCTACTACTTTTGATACTCATTATCCGAGCTCTTGGAAGAGGATTTAGGTAGTTAATGGATGAGCGTCCTAGAACATAAAGACAAGACTTTTCTAAAGTGGAATTCATGTCTCAATATTTAAATTCTACACCTTTAAAGAAAGCCTTTTTGGATAGTGGTAGAGGTGAACTAGTTCCTATTGGATCTTTTTCAAAGGCCTACACAACAAAAGAGGTCACCAAATCCAAATTCTAATCCAAACCCATTTAACTTTGTAACTATGTATGATCGAGGAATTTTAAGCATTTTTTAAGTATCATAACCTGAAGATCGGTCAAACATGTTCATTTACGTGAAAGAATGAAATTAGAGGAATAGGAAAAGAAAAAGAAGTTGAAAGGGAGAGAAGCAAAAAAGATGGTCAAAATGAAGCCTTCAAAGACTACACTTAGCTCATTCCAACACACAAAAATATACAAGTATCATCATCGTCTCTTCTCATCTTTATTCAAACTCACCATTATAATGCTTCGCTCTCTTTTAATTAGGTTTTAAAAAAAGATTAATCTCATTTAATTACAAGTAATAAAACTAATTTCTAATAACACCAACTCATAAAGTAATAACAACTTTTAGAACCCAAAAAAAATAAAAATAAAAATAAAAAATAGAGCAAAAGGGCAATATGAATATTCACTAATCCCATTGAAAATAATCTTTTATTTATTTATTTATTTATTTATTTATTTTGGTAAAAGAGAAAGTTGATGGATGGGACCTTAAACTTTGCTGCAAATGGGCTACGAAGAAGCATGGTCAAAATGAAATGCTTTTGAGATTATTATTATTATTATTATGAGTTTCCTTTGGGTTTTTAATTAATAATAGTTTTGTAAAATAAAATAAAAATAAAAAAAAAAAGGTGGGAGAATATTTGTACTGCGAATAGGTTACCACATTATTCTCTTTCCCTTTTGGGGTGGGACATTCCAATGTCGGGAGGATGTCCCCTTCAGCTTAGCTTTGGAGTTTGGACTCAGCTAACTCTTCCTTATCTCTTCCTATATGCTTTTTCATACTTTAATTACACTATTTAATCCTATAAGTCCTCCTCCACTCTAAATATAATTCAATAAACTTTTAACTATTTTTTACCATACCATATGTATGTGACCTGTCATTAGAACGAGGCTTCTATCCACAATGGTATGATATTGTCCAAAAATTATCAAAGGGTTTAGGGGAAGAGATATTTTTGTTAGATAAATTATAAAATTTATAATGGAGTAAAAAGAGGTTTCATGATGTGGTCAATGAATTGAGCATTAAAGTTTGGTGATTTCCACAAAGGAAACTAAATAGAATCATTTCAAAAGGGATTTCCATTGCATGCATGCAAGCAAGCAAGGCCGTAAATCAATAAAGCAGTTTGGCTCAAAATTCTTTTGAAATCCACAGTTGGAATTATTATTATTATTATTATTATTATTATTATATGCTTTAATTTCTTTACCAAATTATTGTTTTTATTATATATCTTCATTTATTTTCGGCTATATAAACCACCCCCTCCATTTCCTTCTTCCATCACTCGCCTCCCTCTGCTTCACTTAGCACCGCCGTAAGAATCCCTGCTTCGTTCTGTTCCCCTTTTTTTTTTCTTTTTTTTTTTTTTAATGATTTGGTATAAATGGTGGGAATTTGAAGGTTGCCGGAGAAATGAACAGGCCGGGGGATTGGAACTGCAGATCATGCCAGCATCTCAACTTCCAACGGCGGGAGTGCTGTCAACGCTGTGGCGAATCCAGATTCCTGGCTGACCTTGGGGTCTTTGGCGGCGGAAGTAGAGGAAGAAGCATTTCCTCCTCCTCCTCCTCCTCCTCCTCCTCCTCCTCGTACGGTGGAGTTGCCTCCCCGGGCTCCGACGTCCGTCCTGGAGACTGGTACTGCGGCGTTGCCAACTGTGGAACCCACAACTTTGCGAACCGGTCGAGCTGCTTCGTATGCGGCGCGTTTAAGGATGAGTCAGCAGCGACGGCTGCCAGAGGTGGGTTTGATTCTGATGTGGCGCCACGTGGATCGAGGAGCTTTGGATTTGGAACCAATGGCTCACGTGGTGGGTCTTCTTGGAAGTCTGGTGACTGGATTTGTTCCAGGTCATTTCTTTTTTACCCTTTTTTTTTTTTTTTTTTGAATAATAGTTAATATTTTTTTCCATCTATTTAAAAGGTATAATATATTATAATTTATAATAATTTCTAAATCCGCTATCAAACACACATTTTTAACCACGAAATAATAATTAATTAATTGTGTTGATGGGTCATTACAGGTCAGGGTGCAACGTACATAACTTTGCAAGTAGAATGGAGTGTTTTCGATGCAATGCTCCCAGAGACCCGTTCTTCTGAAATATTTTCATCAAAATTTTCTATATTTTTCTTCGGATATAATAATACATAGTTTGGTTCGTATCATTTTGATTGTAATCTCTCGAGTTATAGTGATATTGAGTTGCGTTTTTGCTTTTCTTAGTAAATTTTATGCAGCAATTAAGCTCCTTTTTCGGTTAAAAAGTGCTTGTTCTCTGCTAATGAAATTTTATTGTAGGACACTTAAATTGATAAATAAGATAATATAAATTGAGTTTTTTTTTTTTTTTTTATCATAACTGGTTTGATTTGATAATTATTTATATTACTACTTAAAAGTGCTTTTAAAAAGTAATTTTAATTTATCTTAGATAAAGATTCTTAAGAAACTACTGCTTTTACTTTTATTAAAAAAAATAATTAAGTAGATAATTAAACAAAAAAAAACTATAATTAGATACGACATAAACTCTATACATTTTAAAAAAAAAAATTAAAACTTAAAAAATACATTTAACTTTAAAAATAAAAAATACCCATAAACTTCTCAAAGTAAAATTAAAATGTTGGAATATAATATATGAGGTGTTTTCTCCTCTGTATTTAAGAGAGTGTTGATACTACTTTTAAAATTTTATTTGTATTTTTTTTAATCGTAGTAGTGACGGTATGTGTACTTTTGAACTTTTTAAAATAATTGAAGGATACCAATGAAACTTTTTAACGTTTAAGGGTATTTTTGAAACAAAGTTTAAAAGTGTTTTTTAAAATGAAGTATTAATGATTTTCCTTCTAAACTAATAATAAATATATTTTATAGTTTAAGGGTATAATGGGAATTTTTAAAAGTTTTAGGGACATTTTTATTAATTTAACCCAAATGAACCATAAATATAACACACAAATTTAAATATTTAATTTATAAGAAAAATAGAAAATATATTACTTATTTTAAGTAAGTGGGGATGGTTAATAATTTTTAAATTACTTATTTTTATTTTTTATTTTTTTAAATTACTATTTAGAAGAAGGAAAATTAAGGAAAGAATGGAGGTCTTATATAATAAGAGACTCCAGACATTTCATACATTAGACCGTGAAACGAGTCGGAAGGCGAAGCGACATACTCAAAATCGAAGCAGTTACTTCCGATTGTGATGGGAATCCGTCGTTGAATCTCACGGCGGAGGCCTTTCATCTTCTCCGCTGTGGTTTCCGATCAACACCTAGGGTTTAACTCTGTAAATATTGTACAAATGTCTCTTATACCTGTCAATTAATTGGATGTATCATTTGCCATTTCAAATTTCATCCATTTCTCAAAACTTGTGGACTTAGGGCTTGGTGTCTCTTCTCGAAGTTTTGGACAGTTCTTCATCAGGTATCTCTCTGAGTTTTCCATTCTTTTGCACCAAATTTGGACTCCTCAACTTTAGCTGCATGTGTCAATTTTTATTCGCTTGCGATTTGAAGATTTAGACAATGTACAGAGATTTAAGCGATTTTTCTATTTTTACTTTTGGAAAAGAAATGTTGCTTAGAACCTACTGTTTTTATCACTTAAAAGAATTTGAAACTTGAAATTGGATGGTTTGGCCCTTGAAATGAGTGATCCTTATCCTTTTCACCAAGTTACTCCTTCAGACCATGAGGCTCGTGGCGTTTGGCCGCCATTGCGTCCCCCTCCATGGCCTCCTCGATATAGTATTGGTCGATTCCCATCATTTTATCAGCCTACGATGTCGGAAGTTGTACCGAGTAGGGTAATGCCTTCAAATTTTGAGATTCCACAATGGAACAATGTGAACATTGGATTACATGACAATGAGTTGGAGTGGAGATATGCACTTGCTTCTAATGATCATACTCGGGGATGGTTACCTTCTTGGCGAGGAATTGAATTCCATGAAAATCGATTACCAGAGTGTCCGATTGTTAACAGTCGGACTGGAATGGCGACTGAAATGAAAGTTTGCAGACAATTCCAACGTAGGGGGAAATGTGCATATGGTGATCAGTGTCGTTTCCTTCATAAAATTCCTGAGAACACTAAAGATTTTGGCTACTCCAGCCAGAACCATGAGGTTAGAGCAGTAGCTTCTGGTCATGTTATGGATCGAAAAAGTATGTTTGATCAATTTGAAGAAGTCAGATCAAAAGTACAAACGAAAATTGTTGCCCGCAGTGAGATTCCAGTGCCTGTAAGTTGCAAAACAAGGCTCTGTTACCTCTGGCAGACAACTGGTCATTGCTCATATGGGGAGGTTTGTCGCTTCGCTCATGGAGAAGCAGGTATTTACAGCCTTTTAGTCTATTAATCTTGTACTCTTTCGTTTCCAGTACCATGTCATATGTTTTCGAGAAAGAAAGAATGTCTCAGCATGTATGATTTTATCTGTTTTCTTGTGCCATTTTCTTTTCCATGCAAGTTGTTTCATAAATTACTTCCTTGAAGTTTTGGGGCCAAATAACCTGGCTTGGTTCAAATGAATCCTCTTTCCTTTTGAGTTCTAATTACAAGGTGAGAGATTCGAATGTTTGACCGCTTGGTAAAGAATATATGCCTTAACATTAGCCTTTTTGTTGGGTGATTATCTTTTGTAGGGGGAAGGGGTTCTATTTGCATGATGAAAATGGTGGGCTATATAGACTTTGAGACCTTTTTAAGCATAGGTTAGATATTGTTCCTCAGAACATGAAAACATTAAACGTTGATTACTTAACCATACATATAAATGAACACTGTAAGATGCAATGTCACCATGTGGATATACTCATTTATAAATGGTGATTGACGTGTTCATGAAATCAAAACCTGGTTATTGCCAAACTACATGCATTGATATTGCCCTTGTCTTCTTTGTTTTTGGGGGAAAATAGAATTACAGAAGCTCGAGTCGTGCAGTCCATCAGAACGTGGCAGAGTAGGTGGAGCCTCTGCAACAACTAAAGCTGCTGCCGCAGCTGGATTAAGGTGCAGCAGAGGAATTGGAACCGACGGTAAGAATAAAGGATCATCAAGAATGAAGCAACTCTTTAAATCAAAGGAGCATAAGAAGAAGTTGATTGGCATCTACGCTGACTGGCTTGAGAATTGAGTATTCTGCATGACTTGCAGTACAAAGATTTGACCAAATACTACTGGGGCTGTCTTCCAATTCTCACAAGTGCCTGAGAACATAAAGGTTCTTCTAGGACTCCCTAAGTGCATTTTGACATTTAAATGAATATAGGAAAATAGAAGTGTTCTTAACAAGAATATGATTTTTTTTCTTTTTTTCACTCATAACTCTGGAATATAGCTATATGGTATTGCATCTCTCAAACTGACAGAGATGGAAATAGAAGTAGAAGTATGAAGATTTGAAGTCTTATGTCTAAATGAAAATTGTTTCGTTCATGAAGGATTTTAGCCAACCATTGAAATGACTGATAATAGTTATAGTTATGAATGGTAATAGACTATGACTCTATCTTTAGCCTGCAACATATTAGAATTGAGGAGTGACATAATATGGAATTTAGTGTTCCATTTCCTTTAAGCATTGATCACCATTTTAAAAGCCGATGCTTCTACCATTTTCTTTCATGTTTGGAGAAGATTTTTCAGTTTTAGGATACAATTTTTTAAAGGAGGCTACATAGATTTATAGCACCAAGAATGAAAGCATGCCACGTGTGCCAATATAAAGCTGAAATTATCTATAATTTCGCTTTACAAGGGGAAGAAGCTGAACTTGTTGCTTTCATGTTGGCAAAACATTTTCAAATTTCCTACATTAATCATCATTAATACATTGTTTGACAGACCACAAATCTACGTTTTCTTTAGTTCAATGATTTTAGAAGTAAATTTAGTACAAAATATTTGTTGGATGAGCTAAATTCATATTAACAACAAGACGTATGTGATTTTGCTATAAAATTATTTTGTTCTTTTTTTTTTTTTTCAAAATGGTCACATTTTGTAAGACTACTTAGAATTTTAAAATACATTTCTTTGTCAATGAAAAATGGATAATTCTACAAATAAAAAATAAAAAAAAACAATATATATATATATATATATAACAGAAACTTAAAAAAATAATAATAATAAATAAACATTTTATAATTTTTTGTATTGAAATATTTGTTATTAACATGGGAAGGAGTGAGTGAAAGGTATAGAAAGAAGAGAGAGAAAAAGTTTCTCAATATATGTATAGATCCAATGGAAAGTAAGATTGACTGATATTAATCTTTTGTGTTGAGAAATGTAAGGGCAGAATAAGAAGTCAGATAGTTTAGCCCACACAATCCAAGTCCAAGTTGGTGGGCTGAACACACCTAAATAAGTTATTTAATAGACATCTATCTTCAAATATAATACTTTAATCACAATCACATCTCCTCTTGCGTCACTTACGACCCGACAATGTATAATCAAACTTTATACTCCTGATGAGAAGAAAGATTTTAGACAACGAAGGAAGGCAAAGAGTTTGAAAGTAAAATTAAAAAGAAAAGTTCGAAAGCAATATTATAGGTTATAAGCGAAAAAGTCACTGCAACGACTTAGATAGCATATAATTTGAATAAGAAGATTTGACAACTAGCCGCATACTTCTATAGTACATTTTAAGATATTTCAGGTCTACCAGGCGTAGACATAACGTCTTACACTTAAAAAATACAAAAAAGAAGCTACACATCATAACAGTGGTAAAGGAAAGCAATAGAGTGATACAACACAAGGGGTTTGGCATGCAACGGATACGCGGTCATGGGCAACACGCCTTAGACAGGCATGTGTAACACCTCACACTTTCACTTCTTTCCTCACTTTTTCTCATTTGGCTCTTCCCCTTTTTCAGGTTTCCAAAAATATCTCCAACTAAGCTCCATCTTCAGTGTAACAATCAGCCTCTAAGCTCCTCCATTAACCCCTGTTCTTCAAAGAATAGGAGTTAAGAAGACATTTAAGCAAGCAATAATAAGAATTACCAAAGTTTACAGGGATTCCTACCCGTGAGATGTATTGCTCAGCATCAGTACGTTTAAGAAAATGTATGGAATGAAGTGCAAAATTTGCTGTTTTATCATCACTCAGTACTATTCCTTCACCGATATCATCGAGTACCCTCACTTGGATATATGGATCCTTCGGAGGCACCATATCCTGCCAACGATATACTTGAAGATTTTAGTCCGAGGAATTTGAGTTGGAAGCGTATATCTAAAAAGTTATCCTACAAAAACATTGTGTGTTATTGTAAAGTGTCATTGAGTGGCGTCTGAAATTACCACAGTCAAATCCAACTCCATTTTCGACATGTATTCTTTTAGACGAGCAGAATGCTTCTTAAAATACTCTTCCTCTGAGTTGCTGAGCTTCTCCTGTATTTCAGGTGGAAGCATAGATCCTACTATCTTCCATATCAAACTTCTTATAGTTTCAGCTCGATTGTACCTGTTTGTTCATGTACAACGACATTTGATTGGCAAATATTACAAAATTATCTCAATCCAGCAAACAAGGTAAGAAGCCAGTTCCTCAAAGTTATCTCCCAATATTACACTTACACATAGGCCATGAGGCAGCGTTTATTGCGAACTAATGCTAAGTGGTGAACGAGTGCACCAAAATGATCTTCATTCTTAGTCGTCTGTAGATCCAATCCTTCATCCTGGATTTTCCTATTTCAGATTATCATATGAGCTACATTTAGTCATCCTGAAATACTGTCGTTTCATTATATGATTGCCAATGAATCTAAACCAATAATTGAATGCATATATATGCCACTTTCGCTCTATACTCGCATAAATTGAGGAGTAATTAGAATGGAGAATATCAGGAGAATTCAACGGTTTGGGCGCACTCACAACCAGAGTGACAGTGAATACATGGCTGGTCAGCTTTTAGCATTTGGTTACTATTTGAGGGACATAACAAGAGGTAGAATTTTCTCACCATCAACCAGATGAGAGCATAATGATTAGGATTGGGATGAAAAAAAACTCCTTGCATACTTCAGTACTTGAAAGATATAGAAAATGTCTTGTTTCATCCATGTGTAGATTTCTTTCTACATGTGCAGTTCGATCTTGGAGGGACAGTCTTGAATGCAATGATTAAAAAATATACCACAGTAAGTCCTGGACTATAGTGATTAGTGAACTAACAGGATAGTTCCTGGTATGCAGATTGAAACCATTGGATGTGGATTTCCTAGGGAAATGGATAGAGATTTCACAAACTATAAACTTATTAAAAAGTTTAAATTACCTTAAGTTCATATGTTATAGTTCTATTCCCAACCAAGGCCACTGGTTCATCGGATAAAGTTCCCAAGTGCTATTGTCAAGAAATGAAGCCTTGAGCTGATTTCTGTTATTGAAGCTTTCATACAATATAAGGAGGCCAGGGTGGAAAGAGTTTGGATAAAAGAAACAAGGTGGCGATACGAGACCATCAGCGATATCCATGATAAAACATCTAATCAAGGAAATGTGAACATCTACCATTTCTCAGTACTGCTCTCCTTAACCATATATAACTGAACTACTATTAACCAAATTTAGAAGCAGTTTAATTACATTCGATTATGCTACCAAACAGTTCAACTACTATGGACAAACCAGAAACAGATCAGCTACTACTTAAAACTAAATATCATATCCATTAATGAATTATGTGAATGAAAAGGTAGAATATTGTAACCTCAACAAGGATTGAAGCTCAAGATGATGTTGCTGGCATTCTGAAATAACCTGTTCAAACAGGTCGCTCTGAAGAAGCACAGAGACAAGAAGAAAGCAAAATGGCAAAGTATTAGATATGATATGAATTTTCTAAAACTGAAAGGGAAAGAAAAGATAGAAAAGTAAAAAACAGAGTATATAGCTTGACATCAGGACACTGACCACGGTGATTTGTGAGACAGAGAACTGCAATCACAAGCAGCCATAATTTCTTTTAAAGTCATTTACTTATTACCGAAAGTGCTCAGCTATAAGCCATCACCATTCACAATGTATATCCAAAAACAGCGCACATTTAAGAACTCAACAGAAATCGTGTAGTTCACGGTACACACACGCACATATAATAAAAAATTAACGAGTCAATATTGCCTCTGCTGTTTGATCAATTTGCACCAAAAGTATAACAATCACTTCAAACAAACTAAGCATTAGTGCAAATAACCAAAATTCATCTGTTGTAGAAGTATTAAAAGCTAAAGTGAACGGAAATTAAACATCTCTCGAGGAGCGCAAATATTTCATTGTCTAAAATTTTGATCGAATTCAAATCCTTGCGAATTTCAAACGAATTATGATATCTGTTATCACCAAAATAACTTCCTTGAATGATGTGATTTTGCAGGATTACTTATAATTTTGAAATTTTAATGTTCTATTCATAATTCAAGATTACAAACCCATACTAATAATGTTTTCCTTTTCACTCCATCAAACATTTAAACACAAAAATTAACAATACTCTTATAGATCTGTCATTCCAAACAAAATTTAAAATAAAAAAACAAAAAAAGCTAAAATCATTTGTTGAACTTTCTTGATTCCAAACTCAGTGCAAAACTGACCAAGATCTCCTACTAATGCAAATAGGAATAATCAATATATAAAAAAAAAAAAAAAAAAAACAGAAATGCAAGCACAATACTAGCTGACCAACAACCTCAGTTCGTACACATCAAAAAAACGAGCATGTGGACTTACATTGAACTGTGCTAGCTGTCCTTTCTCGCCGCTTGCTAGCTCTTTCACCAACTGACATGCTTTTCTCCCATACATAGTCGCTATTACGACGCAAATACAGATATCGAAACCAGCTCGAAATGAATTTGAAATCTAGAATTATATCGAATTCAAAATTTCCTAATTTTGAAGTTCGTTGAATGGATGGAAAGATAAAATTTGATATGGGCAGACTTGAAGGAGTAAACTAAGCGAATGAAGGGAGATAGGAAGAGAATGAGGCCGTGCAGCAACAACAGAGAGGAAGACGGCGAAGAAAACGAAGAAATCTCGGGCGCTGCTGGGTTTGGAACTGGCGGAACCAACTCCTGAATTAGGGATTTCGCGCTTTTCTTTTCCTAAATATCAATTCAACAGACGAACTGGCGGGAAATTGTGCTGATGTGTCCTCATTTTGACTCAAATCGGGCCGGGTCGGGCTTACCTACTGGATTGGCCCATGTTATTTACCTAACAATTAAGTCCTTCAACTTGTAACAAATTATAATTTGGTGTTTCAGTTTTAATTTTAATTATAAATTAATTGATTTCATGAAAGTTAATAAGAGAGAGAGAAAAAAACTGTTTTTTAAGTTAATTAATTTTTTATAATAAAATTGAAACATATTTTCTCCAAATATATATATATATATTCTGATATTATAAAGCTTAAATACATATATGTTTCAATATTGACAAAATTAAATTTATAGCTGATTTATTCAAATATTATATTTTAATATTAAATTCTAATTTAGAATAGTATTATTTATTATTATTTTTCTTCTAAATATTTTGATTAATTAATTAAATGGGTTTATTTTATGTTTAATAGAAACGAGAAAAAGATGTAAGACTTTAGCTTAAAGGTTAAGACATTAAGGTTTTTTTATTTTTCTTTTTCGAGATTGAGGATTTAAATCATTGTTGGTAATTTAAACTAAAAAAAAAGTCTCATTTTTAAATTTATATTTAAAAAATATATAAAAGCTTCTCTATTAAAACTTAAATATTATTGTGATAATTTTGTTGCAATCATTCCAATTAGGAGATAACATCTCATTTTTGACCATTTGCAATTATAAGATTCTCTAACATTAAAAAAAAATTAAAAAAATCATTTTTTTCATTAATATTAATTACTTAAATAATAAAAAATAAATAAAAATTTTAATCCATTTTTTTAATGAAATTTTAATTATTAAGGTAATATAATAAAAAGCAAATTCTTTTTAAATAATTAAAAAATAAAGTTTAGATTGGATTATAAACCTTATTTGAGTGAGTGTTTTTTTTTTTTTACGTCCATACTTTCACATATGACATCTCTATTTTTTTTCTCCGGAATCCTTAGAATTACCATTGTTTAGCTTTCAATTTGCCTCTGACCATCAAATGAAGTGTGAACAACCTGTACTCCTCTCTTTGAAACAATTTAGTCTTTTCCATATTATCTCTAGAGTAAGTAATTTTATATGAGTCATTCGGTCTGAATGCTACATAAAGAACATAAGCCAGATGAAGGAACGGAAACTCAAAATTGTACTCGGTCGAAGTCGAAAAAATTAATAATAACATAATTACTTAAAATTTAATTAAAATGGTTTTTTATTTTCGTGATTGCGGAAGCATCAATAATTGACGTATTAAAATGTTTAAAATAAATATGTTGACAAAGTTGATTAGTTTACCAAAGCTAATCAATCCCCTTCATATCCTCCTCCTCATCTTCAGATAAGCCGTTTTAGACTTTAGAGCCAGAGAACCAAGAAACAGAGGAGAGAGAAAGGGGCGCCCATGGCTGGTCTGCAGAGATCCGTTGTATCCTTCCGCCGCCAGGGTTCTTCCGGTCTTATTTGGGACGATAAATTCATATCAGAGGAGCTAATCAAGGCGCCCCAAAACGACGCAGAATCCAGCACCGCCGCGGAAGAACTGAACACCGGAAGAAATATTCCGCCAATCAAGACGGTTGACCGGACCCGATCAAACCGCGGCGAAGCACGGGGGTTCCGGAGTAAAGATACGGCGGCGGCGGCGGTGGAACCGCCGTCGCCCAGAATCTCGGCTTGTGGAATCTGCAGCGCTTTCCGGAACTCGGGGGGCAAGAAACAGAGGACGACGGCGGCCGGTAAGCGCCGATCACGGTAGGTTTTGAGGATTGAAAGGGAATTATGTTTTTTTTTTTTTTTAATTTGAATACGTTGTGAAATTTGGTTTAATATTTTCAGAAATTTTGGAAGAAATTGATGTAAATATGTTTGATTTCTTTTGGGAGTTTTTATATAAAAAAAATCCTTAAAAATTTGTTTTTTGTTTTTAATTCATAAAGTCAAATAATTTGAATTATATTTATAAATTAATTTACTAATAATATTAATTTTTGTTGAATAATTTGTTGCATTTAAATTGAGAGTTTAATAAGAGTATGCTCATTAAAAATCTATTTCCCCACTTTTTGTTACAATAAAGTTAATTAAGAATATATGAATCAAAATTGAATACAAAATGATAATTAATTGACCATAAAAAGCATTAATGATTGTTCATCACATTAATCTCACCCTTCATAATTATCATTTAGACTAACCCAAAACGTAACGTAGAATCATTAATTATTAAATGTTGTATTTTAGAATGGAAATAACTATTTAATTCTTAGTCCAACCAATATGAAGCACTTGAAGATATCAATTACATTCAAAATACAATCCAATTAGCTGTATAAACCTTGATCCAAAGCAATTGAAACAATTGTGGCTCTATCCAATACCCATGTTGGTATTTACTATTTTGGCGAGCTTAATCTTCGATTCCCATTAACATAACTCGATTGAGATCAAAAATAGTTCTTTATTTTGGCGATTTTGGAGCAAAGGGAGATGAAACTAGTCAAGTTTGTTGTAAGTTGTCGTGAATAATAGATTCATTGACATTTATTTGGTTCATAAGGTTTTATAATCCTTTTTTGTTCTTCTTCCATCTTGATTCATGTATGACATTAATGCTTCTACACCTATATAAAGGATTGTCTAGAATAGTTGAGGTGTATTAAGTTTAAGTGTAATTTTGTATTAGTTGGAGTGACATTTAGGAGAAACTTTATTGAGAAATTTTGTAAGGTGAGATATACACTTTTCAAGTGTTCGGGGTTTTGGAGAACACCCATGTGGGGCATCTTTTGGATGTGAGATGTTTGTTTAATCTCTATTCATCTAGTTTTGTAGCATTAACCTCCATTGATTTTGTTCCTTACTTATTTGGGTGCATTGTATCACAATTTTACTGGAAGAAAGTAGGTTGTGACTCCACAAGTAAGATAGACCAGGGGCGACCCTCAAGTGGAGTTTATCTGGTCACGTGACACTAGAAGTGTAAGCAGAGGAATATGTAAGGCTTGAGAGAATGAGGCGACAAGAGTGTAGACAAGCTCGAAGAGGGCTGAGTAAAGCTTTAAGCCATGACCTCAAAAGTTGGGGTTTCAATATGAGATTCAACGTACGATTCTAGAATTAAGTACATTTATATAAAGATGAAAGCTCACCAAATTTTGTGTCAATCAGATACTTGACGAACACTGTACAAGGTTGTATGACCACTCACCATAATGATGTGTACTGAGGGGATGCATGATATCAGCTCTTCATCACCTCTGAACCCTGTGGTCTAAGCGAGCTACCCTGTGGTACATACGTGTGTTACAACATGGGCAATTGATTTCCTTTGAAAATGGTCTTTCAAGGACAGTATCGGACGACACAAGTGTTCCAATATTGCACTACAAGCCATGTGTCGGAGGTTAGATTATGCATCCATTATCCGAAATGGATGTCATACATGGTTTAGCATGGCCACGAGAGAGTCCAATGTTTGATGAGAATCCAAATGAATGGATGTTCAAGATGTTCTGATGAGATGATTGACACCTGGGTTAGTTTCCAACAAATGTGTCCAAGCAAGCCAAGATGATCAAACTGTCCTAAGACATAGGAAGACATCACGATGCATGGTCGTATTATTGGAAATTGAGATGACAATGAAATGCAACGTTACTTACAAGAGACTTTGGCCTAGAGTAGAAGTAAGGTCGAGCTAGATGACTTGAATGGTAAAAAAAAAAAAAAAGGATTTGAATGTTATTAATGAAACTTTTTAAAATAAAATGGAAGTATTCAACATTGAATGGTAAAAAAAAAAAAAAAGGATTTGAATGTTATTAATGAAACTTTTTAAAATAAAATGGAAGTATTCAACATTGAATGGTAAAAAAAAAAAAAAAGGATTTGAATGTTATTAATGAAACTTTTTAAAATAAAATGGAAGTATTCAACATTGAATGGTAAAAAAAAAAAAAAAAAAAGGATTTGAATGTTATCCAAATATGTAGGCATTCCAACTGCTATAAGCTAAAGCCAAGCTATAGCTTCAGCATTAATGATTTCAAACATCGGAAAAAACTGTGTTTTGAACGTCAAATATTTGGGCTTCTTGGTCATCAACGGCAGACAAACGGGCAGTTTCATTTCATTCGGATCCTATGCTTTTAAAATCCTTAAATAAATAAAAATAATATTTTATTTCTTTACTTTTGTTTAGTGCAGCAATTAATTTTATTCAATTCTTTCATCCGTTTTTTAAGAAAGTATATTAAAGGATGTGTTTTATTTTTATTTTGTTGGTAGTTATTTCTTATATTTTTTTTGCCACCTTTGATTTTGGCCGCCGCCCTTACTCGCTTGCTTATTACTTTAATTAAATTCGTTTTCCCTATAAATATGACTTTTCTTTCTTTTTTTTTTTTAACGACGAAATGTATATGATGAAAAAAGGCTTTGATTCAGACTTTTCTGCCGGCGGTAAGTACAAGCGGCAGACACTGCCATCGCCGCCGTTGATTCGGCAGAGTTGCGGCAGATAGAGGAGGAAGTTGGAGAGGACGGAGGACGATAATAAAACTGCTGAACCTTTCATTAAGACGATTAGAGATCAACTCTTCATTATGTTGAATTGTGTATGGTGGTTACCAATTATTACAAATAATTTTGCTATTTTTTGTATTAATATTTTTGTCTGATTTGAATAAGTTGATTGGATTGATGGTCGTTCATATATAGAAATAAATGAGCAACCCACTTTTGAGCTAAGCCACAAGTTTCTCTCGCGAATGAAAATATCAATCATTTTAAAGTTATTTTTTCCAAAGTGTCAAATTTGGAATATATTATTGAAGAGTACCATCTTTAACACATGTTATACGATCGAGCTACCTTTTTAAAATCAACATATGTGTATCTACTCTTAAATACAAAATTCACTATCTTTTTCATACATCCAAC